GGGTCGGTGTAATGAATTGCAACCTTGTGTTGAGTGCAAAGTCTTCAAGTCTGGCACCTATTCGCCCGTTGAATGTCGTGACAAATGTACGTTTGATTATGAAATCACCGATTCATTAGGTTTGTTACCATCAATGCAACTTACTATGAACTACTTGTCTCACAATAAACTGCAATCACTTTTACTATAATTATATTATGATTGAATGGTTGAGTTAAATCTTACTTGTTAGTACACTTAATTGCAATATTTTTTATAATTCTTTATATTACTATTTACTCAAAGATTTATAAAAAATAAAAACTTAAATATTATATAGAAAGTATTGGTAATTCAATATGGAATATGAAATACACCTGAGGAATTTTAATAAATTATAACTTTTCATTTACAAAACAAAGTTCATAACAATGACCCTGATGTTACTGTCTTCTTGACAACTTTAAATAACTTAAGTTTAAATAAAATTTTGAGTCCGGTTTTAAAGTTAAAATTATAAAATAAATTGTTGCTAATGATTGCAATTTATAATAATTAGCAAGCTTATATTTTACAACATAACCTATTACAGAGACTCGTGAGGGCGCGCGTCGGTGTGTCTACTTTGACAAAGAGGACTGTGCCATCAGTTTTCACTACGAATACAACGATAATAAACTGTTTGTTAGGGTGAAGGAGGAGAGGGAGTGTGTGACGCCCGTTAACGCCACTATTGTGGTCGGATCGGTAGCCGGATCTATATTCCTCGTAGGATTCCTTGTCTTACTAATAGGACGGCTAGTAATCTGGTATAAGGATAAGCTAGAGTGGGATCGGTTTAATGAGGAGGCGTCCAGAACTAGGAGTGCAATGGTTTGTATTCACAATCATTACTAATTACTATCTTATTTACATTATTTAGATATTTTTAAGCAATTTTCTATTTTGGTTTAAATAGCAAAAGTCTGAGACAGAAATGAACCCACTGTTCAAACCGGCAAAAACTCAACACCAGAATCCAATGTATGGCCGCTCTAAACATCTTTAAGATTAATAAATATAGTATTTAATCATACATTTAAATAAGTGCATAATCTCTCATGCATTTCACCAAAAGTATTATCAAATTTAGTAATACACATAATTTTACTTAAAAATAAAAATTTTAGTATAGTATATACATGTGGACTATTCTTACACTGCATTTAATTGTCGTTTTTGTATCCATAATTTATCACTTTTGTAAGTTTTCTAAAAACATTTTATACAAATAAATAATTATGATTTAAATAAAATTTAATTAACAGCCAATAATTTTCTCAATATTACAATAATTTCTGTCAATACGTTTATGACTTCAAACTAAAACTACTAATTGTTTATAAATACAATAGCTTTCAGATTTTTGTCGTTTATTAATTCACATGAATTGCACGCAATTATCAACTATGTTAATAACACACATTAGCTTAATAAGTTGTTTTTGTCTATTAGTATACAATCGGTTATTAATGAAATGACTTTCAGTCACAAGAATTTGATTTTTCCTTTTTTTAAAGACACTTATTCTTAGAAATAATATTCTATTCGTCGCTAAATATTAGACAATGGATTTGCACTAATATTGTCGACACTTATATAAAGGACAGGTATTTTGAAATCAGTCGATTATTTCGTGTATTTCTTTGTACTTAAATTTTTAAATTTAAAATTACCTAAACTATATTAGCCTAAAATGACTACGATCAAATTAATGTTTGGTGTTGTGATCATTGCATGGATTAGTTGTGTTGCTTATGGTACGTAATTCTTATGGTTTAACCATTATATAAATTACTTAAATAAATAATTTTCAAAACTGATTAAACTAAATGAAAACCTTATGTCAAAT